ATGTATTTATATTTATGTAGTATAACAGTATAATATGTATTTATATTTATGTAGTATAACAGTATATTATGTATTTGTATTGATGTGGTATAACAGTACAATATGTATTTATATTTATGTAGTATAACAGTGGGCTGTGAACGGTAGTTATCTTCATACTGACCTAAAAATAAAACCCGTATGCGTCATGGAGACGGGATCTTAAGATATGATCCATACATTTGGGGACCTATTGCTCATAAAGTAATCTTATTGTGAAGACGTGGAGATAGTTTCTTTGTTCTGAAGAGTTATTGTTCTGCTCACACTTCTTGTGATTATTAGTTTTACCTGCTTCGGCTGCTCCACGATCTGCAGGAACGGTCCGTCCACTGAAACCAGAACAAAGTCAGTGACAACATTCACACACATTCAGCCTACGAGAGGAATCAAACATGACGAGAGACATTATTATTCTCATTTCATTGATCTAGTTTCAATTTCACACAGTTTTCTACTATTACTGTTAATAGTACTGTGATAGCTTTTAAATCTCACTTTTTCATAACTTTGGATTCAAATTGTTAAACTTCTTTCTGTCTTTTCTGTTTTCTGGTGAAAAGTTGTCATTAGTAGTTGTTGTTATTTGTCAGTATTCTGTGAAGCACTTTGAACAAAGATGGTGTACAAATAAAGTTGTATTGATTGATATGCTTGTTGCAGTAAACAGAGAAGTATGATTGTGTGATTTCCTGGTTTGAATCATGACTTCCTTCCTTTATATTTAAACGTTGTAATACAGTGTGAACAGGAAAGATCGGGTCCCAAAGTTACCCTTAAAGTAAAATGTAGTACTTGTACATGATGGTACTGGTACTTAAACTGAAGTATTTCTGAAGCTGCTTCAACCGATGAATCACATGAATTTCTCACATGTAAATGTTAAAGTGGAGAAAGCCCCCCCCCCCTTCTCTCTCTACTTCAGAGTAAAACAGTGAAAACGGAGAAGTGAGAGCTCTCACTCACCAGAGACGAGCGACGCGTCAACAAACTCACCTTTCACTTTACCTTCGTCACACATTCGCTTTACAAACAGGAAGCACGCTTTCTTTATGCTGCACAGCTGCTTCGTCCCAAAATACGCTTCATGTGTCCACTGCCGCTAGATCCTTTACAGGTGAAGCGCTTCACGCACTAAACATACGAAGGCTTTATAAAATATCATGTTCTTAAGTAAGAAGCTTCATAAAGAAACGCTCGAAGCAGCAGTTCATTAATCAACCGAGGGAAACTTAACGTGAACATATTTTTACTGTAAAAACATTTTTACTGTAAAAAAAATGTCATTGCTCCAGATTTAATAATGTTAATGTATTAGTGTTAATGTTAATAATGTTTATGTGTGCCAAACTATAATAACTGACTTCCTGTTTGTAGAACACCTGTATGCACCTGTATACACCTTCACCTCACACAGTATCTTAACGGTTTGAACCAGGAAATAGAAAACAAGTTTGAAACCACTGAAGTGGTTTTTAATCCGTCACATCGGCAGTTCAACGTACAGGTTAATAATTAATCCAGTCACAGAGCTCAGACACAGTTTAAACAACAGTCACTACGTCCTTTATGATATTCATATGATTATCAGTTTTCTGTGTGTTCAGTCAAACAACTAGGATTGTGTATCTGTGTATAAGGTCCCCATTGATCACGTGACCGGTATTTAGGATTGTGGTACCTGAGGAGGGTCAAACCAAAACACACCACATATTTAATGTGGAATAACAAGTTTAAATATTACAAAAGATTTGCTGTTGATCTATTTTGATATCTGAAGATAAAAGGAAACAAAGTCCGTTCTGCCAACAATGAGCAGCAGCTGCGTGTTGACCATTGGAGCAGCAGTTAAACAGAGACATTAAAGTCTCTTTGCACAGCAGGTGTGAAGCTGAGACGCTCACCTGTCCGCAGGGACGAGGTCGGATGCATCGCGGGGAAATGTGGGAACTCCCACAACGGATCCATCACGATGTTGTCGAAAATCTGGAGGAAGAAGTTCGGACGTGAAGTCGGGACACTCGATGTAGAAACATACAATTCATAAATGTGTAAATCATTTAGGGCTGAAACTGACCATTTTCATTTCTGATTAATTTCTCAATTAATAGATTTAGCTGTTTAGTCAATAAAATGGTAAAGAAAGATCTTTCTGTGTTTCTCAAAGATGACGTCCTAAAACGTCTCAAATATGTTGAGTTTACCGTCACAGAGGAAAATACTCGCGTTAGAAAAGCTGGAATTACATTTTATTTTCTTCAACATTTACTCAAAACAGTCGGCTATTAATTAAGAGTGGACAACTAATCAATTCATCTTTGCAGCTCTTATCCATTTTACATTATTAGGTTATTTTATAGGAAACAAAAACTTAGTTGTGTATTAACAAAATCAAACATTCAGTTTAAAAATCAGCTCATTTGAAAGATTTAAGGCTGAACCAAATGTTATTATTTTAACAATCAAAGCTTCTTTTAAAAGGTTTTTAAATGTTTGTCACATTTTATGACGTCATCAGGTTTTAAGTATACATTCTAGCGACTTCAGTCTGTAATATAATAGCGGTAAAGCCTGTTATGAATGAAGTGTTCATGGTGCTGTTAGATACAGGTGTGTGTGCTTCTCTTTGTCTGCGAAAGTCGGAGAAAACGTTGTTTTTGAAACACTAAACGTCAACAAATATGAAATGAAGCGGAATATTTCGTTAAGATAGAAACATGTTGTGAACTTTGACTCTTTGCTCCGGAGTTATTGGAAATGTTTGGATCCCATGAGTCAGAAATATACTAATAGTATAACACTAGTAATATCAGTGCAGCCTGATATCTATCTGATTCTGGTCCTGGATCAGAGCTCAACATTAATTCTAACAATATATTTCACTCACAATGAGATAACTTTATCTTGTTGTAATAACACAATATTTCTTTGCTGCAGTGTTTGCTGTACAGGTGAAGTTAGAGGTGAGTTTACCTGGTTGGAAGGATGAAGGTAATGGTCGTCTCCAGCCATGGTGTCTGCAGGTGAAAGGTCACAATACAACAATTACAACAGTGTAACACGCAGTGATAATTACAACATTTGATTAGCTAATGATGTAAGCAGACAACATAAAACAAACATTCATCACTCTTTATTTTATCATTTATTTATAACGCCCTGAAAAGATTCAGAATTAAACCGAAATATTATTTCTTTATTATTATTGTAAATAATAGGGTATTTTTATTAGTTTGAATTGTTAACACACCTGTATTTATTAAACAATACATTATTCACAATACATGTGATTTTATGAATTCTTTTTTTACAATAGATATGTATTGTCATTGTTGATAATAAACAATCCCTCTGACACTTGTTGCTGCTTGGTGCTAAGCGTGAATGCGCTTGTGTGAATCGTGCTAGCCCGCTGGCTAACAGCTAAGCTAGCGCTACCAGACTGTTGTTGTTTGTTTGTGTTGTTAAAGCGACCGTTTAGTAAATAAACGTTAATCACCAGCTAACACGACTACAGTACAGACCGTAACATAGTAACTGTCTGACTGTTAGTCTTCGTGTTACAGAGAGAGTCGGTGCAAACAGCTAAACTGTCCTAGCCAGCACGGAGCTAGCACCTTGAACACGAAACTCCGTTCACAAATCTGACATTTAAACGGTTATTACTCTATTTACTGATGAAACTTGAACAGCAGAATATACATTAATACATTTTAGAGTCAGATGAATCCAGTCATGAATTCGGCAAGTGTAAAAAACACTAAAAGTTTCAGCTTCTTACTGTGTTTCCCTGTTAAGAAAACGTGCACTGCGGTTATTAGGGAAGTCCAGCGAGTGAAGCTGCAGTAGATCCTCCAGTTACTACCACTAACCGAGGATGTCCATGTTTCATACACGAGCCGAACTCACCGTTGGCTTTCAGATACAAAATATATATTTAGTGCTGATGTGAGACATTCTGTCGTTTGCTGACGAGCAGAAAAACGTTAAAATTTTCATTTTTAACGCTGAGTTTGGTTGGCGACGTTCTCACAAGTGTACCTGTCTTATAAGGAAGTGAAGTAGCACAACAAAGCGCAACTGTAAAGGTTCACGGGTAAATTATGGAAATGAGTAGTGCAAATATACAGAAATCTAGTTCTCTGGTAAAAGTGGGTAGTTAATGTGTTCTTACCTGGTTAAGCTCGGGTTAATTTATGAGCGACAGTTAACTTTTAGACATCACTTCAACACGCTCGTGCCGAACCAGTGGATCCATTAATTGAAGCGCGTCACGACGCCACGCGACGGCGTCATTACAGTTTTAAATGAGAAGAAGAAGACTTTTTAATATGACGCGATGTTTAATCCCACCGAGCACGCGCCAGAAACAAAAAAGTCCTGCAGGTTGAAGTTTGTCTCGGTTTGTTCATAAAAAAAGTATGATTTCCTTCCTCACTGGAAAATCCCTGTGACGGCAGAGAGAGGTGATAAAAGAACGAAGAGGTCTCACTCTGACTATGGAAGCCCATTGCTGCAAATATATATATATATATATATATATATATATATATATGTAATAATACATCATGATTTATTAGTTAATTGTATATTTTTGTTTTCATCTGAAACTGCAAAAGAACTAAAACTGTCAAACAAAAAAAAGTAAAAAGTACGTTTCCCTCTGAGATGAAGTAGAAGTATCAAGTAGCAGAAAATAGAAATACTCAAGTACTTCAAAGTACTTCACTTAAGTACATGTTAAACAAAGATAGATTTAAGAGAGAAATCTGACAGAAACGTTCTCATATGTTCTTTAGTTTATTCTGAATAAACACGTCATGTATTTAAACATATATGTACATTTATATATTTGTACTACATATGTGTACAACATATTCAGCCTTAGTTGTTACAACATTCATCATGACCTGAACGTCACATCAAAGAGCATCAATTAAACAGTTAGTGCAACTTTACAGTTAAAAATAAAAACAACACAAAAAACAGCTTCTGTCTGCAAAAATATACATTTTATCTTTTTAATAAAACTGAAAATTTACAGCGAAAAAAATCTGAAGATACGAAAAACATCAGAGCACTGACGGTGTTGATGAGGCACTACGCAAACGTCCACCTGCAGAACAAACCTCCATCTGAAGAACAAACCTCCTTCAGGACAAACCACCAACTGTAGAACAAACCTCCACCTCTAGAACAAACCTCCACCTGAAGAATAAACCTCCACATGTAAAACAAACCTCCTGCAGAACAAACCTCCACCTGCAGAACAAACCTCCACCTGAAGAATAAACCTCCACATGTAAAACAAACCTCCTGCAGAACAAACCTCCATCTGTAAAATAAACCACCTGAAGAACAAACCACCTGCAGAACAAACCTCCACCTGAAGAACCACCTGCAGAACAAACCTCCACCTGTAGAACAAACCTCCACCTGAAGAACAAACCACCTGCAGAACAAACCTCCACTTGAAGAACAAACCTCCACCTGCAGAACAAACCTCCACCTGAAGAACAAACCTCCACCTGTAGAACAAACCTCCACCTGCAGAACAAACCTCCACCTGAAGAACAAACCTCCACCTGAAGAACAAACCACCTAATGGGCAAACCTCCACCTGCAGGACAAACCTCCACCTGTAGGACAAACATCCACCTTCAGGACAAACCTCCACCTGGTCTGCTCTCAGGGGGGCAGGGCTTAATGACCACAGGTGGTTCTAACGCTACGAGGCACAACGGACGCAGAGAAGCTGGAAAAAACTGCACATTTTGTAACATTGAACAACAAATAGAGAGTAGTTCATGACATCGATGGAGGATGTTTAAACACAGGAAGGGACACATTTACATTTACAGAGATTAACTGTTGTGGATGCACGAGGAAATATTTGCTCAAAAATCTTCGATATTCTGCTGTTTGAAACTATATTTTTATCATTTATCATCGTTACTCATCGAGTCATTAAAGTTGAAAACACTTCTTTGGACTAAACTGCTTTTCTTAAATCTGAAGACGAGACAGCTGGTTGTCCATCTTTTAGCTCGTTAACTTTATATTCCTGAAAATCTGTTTTTTGGGTTGATTTCAATTTATTTCTATCAAATATCAAGTTGCAGAGAAGAGAAACTTTTGGTGACTTTCTTGTTTGAGGTTGTATTATATTAAGGAGTCCAAAAGTCCTGAAAGATGTTATTTTTATATCTTGTACAAGCAAGAAAAAGACACTCTTTAAGGACTTTAGGGCTTCAAATCATTCAGTGGTAAAAGAAAGATTTTTGAATCCAACAAACACCTAAAATCTAATCAAAAACTTCAAATGTCCCAAGTTTCAAGAATCTGCAAGTTGTTTTTTTCCCGAGCAGGAAGTCATTCTAAAAAGAATAATTTGTAAGATGAAGAGCAGGATCATGAAGTATTAACTGTTTAAAACGTGTAAAAACCAGCAGTTGACATTATTTACCAGCGACAGACTGACTCATTATTGTGAATAAACAGGAGACAAAATGCTGTAAATACACAACACTCAGAACTACAGTACTTCATGCATGGAACAAAACACTGTGACAGCATGTGTACAGTTTAAACTACTCACAGCTACATGTCAGTACACACAGTACTGTCGACTGTAGGAAACACTTAAAGTAACAGTTAATGCCACTGATGTATCTGATCCACGTTCTTTCAAAGCCAGAAACTCTCACTGTAATCTTGATTTATTAAAGTCATTAAATGTGGAGAATACAGTCTGCATTCAAACTTGTTATTCCATCAATTAGTCCTTAAATAAGCTACATTTTGAATGGAGTTTGAGGCTTTGAGTAAAAACAAGATCCTTGAATCTAGAATCAAACACAGAATTTTAACATATTATTCTAGCACCAAATAACATCAAAATAAATCGGTTAATGCAGTTTAAAAAACTGAATATTACATCCAAAGTACAGTGATCAAATACTGTTGTGGCTACATGAAGAGCTGAGACCTTCAGCATAAAGTCCTTTAATATCTATTTCTTTACGTTCTGCATCTGGAATGTGGACGAAGTTCTTCTTTCTTTAAATCCTCCTTCATATAAACTGGCAGCTGAAGCTCGTCGTTGACAAGTTTTGTTGTGGCAGCAAATAAACTAATTTTATTATTATTATTAACTTTAGATTAAAGTTGTATCATATCAAATATGATCATTGTTGTAGATCTGGCAATGTTGTATTCCTTATTTTTAACTCATTCAACGTTAAATACTGAGCCCAGGTGTAAAGTTTTGATAAATTGAGCAATTTTACCTTCAAATTGCGAATAATTGAAAGAACTAATATTGTGATCAATATAAATATATCCCCTCATAGTAAATTACCGTGAATTACTTAATTTGTTGACCCCAATCAATTTTCAATTACAAATTAAGTTTTGCTTGCTAGTAAACAAGCTAACTAGCTCGCCAAGCTAGTAATATGTCTAGTTTTAGCTAGTAATGTAGCTAGTTTTCTAGCTAGTATCTGGTGCACAGAGGGTCAAATGTTGTACCAACATTTTTAACATTTTATTTTTTCCCCCTACAATTATGTGAATTTAACTTTTAATTTTGTCTATTGCAAGCTAGCTTAGCAACCACCTTGTTAAGCTAATGCTGAGCTAGTTTTCAGCTCAGTTCTTTAATGCTATCTGCAGTAGTAATGTGTTCCCACATTTTAGTAATTGAACCCTTTATTAGTTCTTCAAATTAAGTTTTGTTTAGGCAACAAGCTTGTTAGTTAGCTTGCTAGTAAACGAGCCGATTAACTTGCAAAGTTAGAGTTGTTTCCAGTTTAGCTTAGCTAGGAATACAGTTAGCTTTCTAGCTAGTGGCTGGTGCTACCTGATACAGTGCCACCATTTTTGCCCACATTTTAGTAAATCTATGCTTTTGATTTACAAATTTTATTTTCCCGTAAAATTTATTGAGTTTTGTTTTCATTTTGTATAGACAAGCTAGCAGGGCAACTAGCTAATAAAGCTAGTAACATATCCTTAATTTACAAATTAAGTTTTGTTTCGACATACTAGCAAGCTGGCTAACTTTCAAGAAAACGCTAACCACCTTACAAGCTAGTAATGGTGCTGTTATATAGCTAGTTTTTTAGCAAATGTACGGTGCTGCCTTTAATCACAATGGCACAACTTTTTGACAATTTCTAACGTGACATTTTCTCTTTATGTAGTTCCACGGCTCAGCTAAACTCAGTTTAATAAGACTCAACTAGCTAACTGCTACCAGAGAAGACGGGAAAGCGATAAAGTCAGTCATACATCACAGCTGAGTATGTTAGCATTAACTGAAAACAGTGTAAAGCAGCACAGTTTCCATCGTAGCAACAACACCATCTGTAGCGCATCACTGTAATTTTAGTTACATTTTGCATTCTTTATAAGAAATTTGGACAAATAAAGTCAATTCTGTTGAGCGAAAGAAAGATGCAAAATAACGGTATATTGGTAACCGTAAAAGTAAATCTTGGCAAGTTTCACAATTGCGTTTTGGAACGTATAATTCAGATTATTTGTCGTGATCTCAATATTAATTAAATCAACTAAAAAGACAGATTTTGTGACAGTCTGGTCATGAGTTCTTTATTATGTCACAAAAGATAGATGTTTTCAATCTTGTGCACAAGTTATTATCTAGTTTGCACAAAATCCGTCTTGTGCAACGTCATCGTAAAAAGATTATAATTCATGGCAAATCAAACTTTGGCTTATAAATCCTGTCATATATTCACAGTTGGTGTTGCTGCCAAAGTAAGAGCTTCACACTTTCCATCTGCAGAAATACAAACTGTGCTTCAGGCTTTACAGTTTATCTTCACTTTAACACTTTTTTGATCTGACTTTTATGTATTTTTTACTTCTTTGACTCTTTGCAGTTACACACAGTGGTTTCAGAGATGTCTTGTTTGATTTTGCGTGCTCATTAGCTTCGGAGAGCTTCACCACATAAATATTGTGTGAAACCAATATTACGAATAAATTTCACAGAAGAAGAATCATTCAGCCTCCAAGGAGATTTGTGGTTTAGATAAACAAAATGTGGTCGCAGCTTCTTAACTAAACTGCCTGTCTTCAGGAGTTCTCCTGTTTCTTTATATTCTCTAATGACAATATGATTAAGGTTATAATCACTCTATAGCTGTACATTATATTAATACAACTAAAGTTATTACAATTAATCAACTGACATTGAGTCTACTGCTACTTTCTGTACATATACAGTCACATCTGGACAGAAATCTACTTCTGTTAAATACTTCTATAGATTTATTTTGTTCAAACTCTGAAGCTTATCCATACTGAGAAGTTACTTGTTCCTCTTTTTTAAGTAAAAAAGTTCAGTTGCTGAATATTAACTATGAAATCTGTGAGTGATAAGTGCTTGGTCAGCAGGATGGAAATGTGATCCCAACTGGACCAAACTTGAGGCGATCCAGGACTTCCTCCCACCGCGTGCAGGCTGTAAACTTTAAACCTCCTTCAGTCTCCAGGTTGATCTGCAGCCCGTCAGCGTCGCTACGAAGCTCCACGAGTGAGCTCACAGCCGGCTGATGGAAAACAAAATGGCCTCCCAGATAGCAGCAGGAGGCAGGTAAAAGGCAGGATGCTGATTTTTTTTAGGCGGGTCGGTCAGTTTCCTCCGTCTCTGGAGGACGGACTCTCAGAACGACCGTCCTTTGAGCCACCTGATGACTTCTTCTGCTTCTGCTTGGACTTCCTCAGCATCCGAACCTGCAGACACAGCAGAGGAACAAACGTTGTGTAAATTAGTAAAGATAAACTACAGAGATACACACCAAACTACAGATAAACTACAGAGATACACACCAAACTACTGATTAAATACAGGGTACAGTACAGGTATACTCAGAATATACTAAACTACAGATTAAGGACGGGCATACTCAGAAGATACCAAACTATGGACAAACAAGAGGTATACACAGAAAATACCATAATACAGATAAATCACATTTTCACGTGAAAGGCCATAAAAAAAGAGAAGTAAATGAATAAACAGGAGAAGAAAAGGGACAAAGAAGAAGAAAGGATAGGAACGAGGATAAAGACAAAAGACAGAAATTAAAAGAAAAACCAACAAAAACACAAACTACGGGTGCCCTTCGGGGACAAACCTTTGGTCCAGCAGCAGAGATGATGATGTGTCCCGGCGGTTGGATCCACGGTTCTCCGTCCACCTGGACATGTATGGATTTGCTCACCGTCAGCCTGATGTAGTTCCCTTGAGCAATACGGATCCCTGAGCGCAGACCGCTCTGCACCTGGCCCTGCACACACACACACACACACACACACACACACACACACACACACACAC